TTTTAGGATTATTTTCACCAGAATTTGAACATGAAACTATTTTTTTTTAAATTTTTTTAACGTTTATTTATTTTTGAGACAGAGAGAGACAAAGCATGAACGGGGGAGGGTCAGAGAGAGGGAGACACAGAATCTGAAACAGGCTAGGCTCCAGGCTCTGAGCTGTCAGCACAGAGCCCGACGCGGGGCTCGAACTCACGGGCCGTGAGATCATGACCCGAGCCTAAGTCCGCCGCTTAACCGACTGAGCCACCCAGGCGCCCCGAACATGAAACTATTATGAAAGTTAATAAAAGGAAACTTCATTTAGTAGAGTGGAGTTAGGAGATGGGCAGGGGGAGCTGTGGGCCCAGCACTAGTTAGCAATCGCAGACCCAACAGGAGGAGAGGCACCTTGCAGGTGGATACTACTTACTCAGCAACAGGAAGGTTTCCTGCTGCTCCGGCAACAGCCCAGCCAATGAGAAGCCACCATACTTCCAGCTCCCAGTATAGTCCAATGGACATTCTGTTTACAACAGCCCCGCCCAACCTTCTGCCTCCTCTATAAAAGCCTCCCAGCCTTACTCTCCAGACTTGCCTGTAATTCTGGTGAGGTTTTCCTGTCCTAGGTTGGGATTCTCTGCTATTCTCAAATAACCCCATCTTTACCAGTAAAATAGTTGGCAGTGTTGTTTTAAGGTTAACAGTGTTTAAATACACAAGTCATAAGAAACCATTCCTTACAGTTGAATAATAAACTAAACAGGGTCACTAACCTCCTCGGGGTGAAGGAGAATCATGTCCTCCAATGACCACGCGGACACCAGAGTTTTCCAGTTTCACTTTCCATTTCTCAATGATAGTCATAGACTTGTCCTGAAAGCACAAGGACATTGGCAGTTCAGGAAGCTTCCCTCAAAACAGATGTGACTGTTCATGCTAGGGCTAAATCACCAACAGGAAGTTCATAAATACCTTACTAGCATCATTAAAAACCGAGAGCTCCATGGAGCCTTCAAAGTCCTGTTGCAAAACAGACTCCAAGCACTCGTCCAGCCACAGTTCAGCGTTGTAGACCGGGAGGATAATAGACTGCAATTCAAAAGAAGTGGATTAACAAATGTAAGTGTGAGGGCTAATAATGCCTTTCCTCCATTCCAGTTTACTTTCCTGTTAACCCCGAGCATTAGCCCCATGCTCATTTCCAAAGGGTGAGGCCCGACTTACAGAATAATTGGGAATAAGGCTTCCAAAGAATTTGTCACCAAAACAGAAGGTGTCTGTTCCTTCTCTCCAAGCTCTAATGTTCTTTTGCTCCGTAAGATTTATTATGTCTTAGATTTCACTGAATTGTCTTTGGGATACTTTTGAAAAGGAAACAAAAATATTAAAGGCATAAAAGATTTTCACAGTTCAATGGCAAATTCATGTGTTCTCCAATCACTGGTCAGATACATCATTTCGGCATCTGTGTATTTTCTTTTTTTTTTTTTTTTTAACGTTTATTTATTTTTTTGGGACAGAGAGAGACAGAGCATGAACGGGGGAGGGGCAGAGAGAGAGGGAGACACAGAATCAGAAACAGGCTCCAGGCTCTGAGCCATCAGCCCAGAGCCCGACGCGGGGCTCGAACTCACGGACCGGGAGATCGTGACCTGGCTGAAGCCGGACGCTTAACCGACTGCGCCACCCAGGCGCCCCATCTGTGTATTTTCTAATTCACTCATAAAAATAATCTATTGGTCCTTTTCTTGGTGGAGTAAGCATTTTCGGTGAACCATAACATTAGAGAAACTCCAGCAAAGAAACTCTTTTCAAGTGCCTGCACACAAGCTTTAACAAAGTATGGGGGTGGGTACTGGGAAAATGGGGGTGACCTCCATCTATCTCTCTCTCCTTTTGCTCTACTGAGTTTAGGACAGTTTGGTGCTGTCTTTCTCTCCTACAGCCCAAATCAAACAAAAATCTCTAAAGTGTATGGAGTAAAACAAGTGAAACCTGACTGCCAACAAAATAGCTGATTACTGGAATTATCTTAATTTTGTACGTTACGACATTAAGCAATATGAAATACCCAAAGACAGAAATTACAGTCTACCCTAACCCTTGAGTTTATACCCTAATGAGGAGTGGACAAATTCCTACACAAGAAGACAGAACACGGTCATCCAGGTGTGTTTACACAGTGCATATGCATACACATACGCATGGGCACAAACGATATGCACATACATGAGTATTCAGTATCTACATGCAGTATAGACAGGATTACAAAAATACTAAATCTGAATACGGTTTTGAAAAACTCATAGATTGAAAAATATAATTCAGTCAAATTCTTTACTCTGAGGATCTGATTCAACAGCGAGAACCCTTCCTGAATCTGTTAGCCAAAAAGTGGTTACCTAATTTACTCACATATTTACTTTCCTTTTAGTGTTTATTATTTTTGTGAGTGATAGAGAGCAGGGTAGTGGCAGAGAGAGACACACACAGAATCGGAAGCAGGCTCCAGGCTCTGAGCTGTCAGCACAGAGCCCAACTAGGGGCTGGACTCACAAACCATATCATGACCTGAGCCCAAGTCAGAAGCTTAATCGACTGACCCACCCAGGCAC